AAGGGAGGTGGGAGCCCCCGTCAGACAGAGCAGGCCGATCAGGAGTTGGCCTTCCTCTGTCAGCACAGCAGGGTCGATCAGGGGTTGGAGCTCCCCCCTGTCAGCACAGAGCAGGGCGATCAGGGGGTGAGGACTCCCCCTGTCACTCACAGAGTAGGCCAATAGGGAAGTGGGCACCGCCCCCTGTCACACACAGAGCAGGCGGATCAGGGGTTGGGCGCTGCACCCTGTCACACTCAGGGCAGGGCCAATGGGGAGGTTATGGCTCTACCCTGTCACACACAGAGCAAGGCCCGTGGAGGGGAGTTGGGGCACCGCCCCCTGTCACACACAGCAGGGCAGATCAGGGGGTTGGGGCGCCGCACCCTGTCACACTCAGGGCAGGGCCTATGGGGAGGTTATGGCTCTACCCCGTCACACACAGAGCAGGGCCCGTGGGGGAGGGGTTGGGGCGCCGCACCCTGTCACACACACAGCAGGGCTGATCAGGGGTTTGGGGCGCCTTCCCCTGTCACGAACAGAGCAGGGCGGATAGGGAGGTTGTGGTCCCGCCCCCGTCACACACAGAGCCGCAGGGCGATCAGGGGGTTTGGGCGCTGCCCCCTGTCACGCTGATCCCGGTGCCAGGAGGCCTGGAGGCTCTGCTGACCCTGGTGCTGGGAGGCATATTACCCTTTTACTATATAGGATAGAGGCCTGGTGCACGGGTGGGGGCCGGCTGGTTTGCCATGAAGAGTGTCCTGGATCAGGGTGGGGGTCCCCACTGGGGTGCCTGGCCAGTCTGGGTGAGGGTCTGAGGGCCGTTTTCAGGCTAGCGGGTGACTGAAGCTCCCGACCGCTCCTTTTTTTCTTTTTTTTTTATTCTGGGCCAGCTTTAGCTCTGAGGCTTGGCTCCAGCTCTGAGGCCTCGGCTGCTGAAAGGAGGTATCTGGTTTGTTTGGGTTCTATAATCGAAAGACCGTTTCAACTCCAGCTCTGAGATCCTGGCTGGCTGAAAGCAGGTTACTGGGGTTTTGTTTAGCTTCTATATTTGTAACAATGTTTCAAACTGCAAGCTCAGAGGCCAGCAGCAGCAGGCAGGGAACGTTGGCTTCCTCCGTCACTGGAGCAAGCAAGCCTCCTGTTAGCTTCAAGCTGCCTGGCTGCCGGCTGCCATCTTGGCTGGCAGTTAATTTGCATATCGCCCTGATTAGCCCATGGGACGGGTAGCGGAGGTACGGCTAATTACCATGTTTCTCTTTTATTAGATAGGATACTTTATATTTTTTTACTTTTCTGTGTCCATGCCTTTCCTTTTGATCATCCTTCTTTCTTTGGTCATTCTTCCACTTTTGTCTTTGTAATTGAAATTCTTCCCCTGTCCCTTCTATGCCCAGCCCAAGAGTCCCAACTTTCCTGCACCCCCAGGAGACCTATCTCCCCACTGTGCTTCATCTGTCCTGCTCTTATGACATATTTTCGTAGTTTGACATTTATTGTACTTATTTGTGTACTAAGCATGGGCCCACTAAATTTTAAACTTACTCATGGTATTGGTCATATTTTTCAACTTTTTATTCCCATCATCTTGTGGTATTTTGAACAAGTAAGAACATTTACTCTGTGTGTGTGTGTGTGTGTGTGTTTGTGTGTGCATCATGCACTGGAATAGGAACTGGGGATGCATCAGTTAAAGAGCTTTTGCAACGTAGGAGATGACATAGTATATACTAAATAAATATTTCTGGAATGTAATAATTTTATAAACCTAGCTAATAGGACAAAAAGCATTTTTTGTCTTTTTATTATTTTTTAAAATTATTTTACAATACACAAAACAAATCTATTACCAGATTGTAGATACAAAATAATTAGCCATTTACATGCAGTAAACATTAATATTTCAAGAAAAATGATTCTAAATATAATATTCAACAAACAATATTTCAAGGAAAAAAGATTTTAGATATAATAATATTACCAAAACTGTACTAACATAGTATAATATCACAGAAGTTGTAGGAAATATTAAAAATCTGCAAATAACAGGATTACTTCTATTATATTCTAAGATTTTTTTTCCCTCTGGCTTAATTTTTGTTCATCAGTTTATGTTGTTAATTATATTCCACAAGTGAGTGAGATCTTTCTCTGACTGGTTTATTTCACTTAGTATAATGCTCCCCATGTCTATCCATGCTGTTGTGAATGGTAAGAGTTCCTTCTTTTTTACAGCAGTGTAGTATTCCATTGTGTAGATGTACCACAGTTTTTTAATCCACTCATCTGTTGATGGGCACTTAGGCTGTTTCCAAATCTTAGCTATGGTAAATTGTGCTGCTATGAACATAGGGATGCATATATCCTTTCTGATTGGTGTTTCTGACTTCTTGGGATATAATCCTAGAAGTGAGTTTACTGGGTCAAATGGGAGTTCCATTTTTAATTTTTTGAGGGAACTCCATACTGGTTTTCACAGTGGCTGCACCAGTCTGCATTCCCACCAGCAGTGCAAGAGGGTTTCTTTTTCTCCGCATCCTCGCCAGCACTTGTCATTTGTTGATGATAGCCATTCTGACAGGTATGAGATGGTACCTCATTGTTGTTTTGATTTGCATCTCTCGGATAATAGTGATTTTGAACATGTTTGCATATATCTCTTGGGCTTCTGTATGTCCTCTTTTGAAAAGTGTCTATTTAGGTCCTTTGCCCATTTTTATTTTTAAATTCTTTATTATTTAAAGTATTACATAAGTCTCCTTTTTCCCCCATTATCAATCCCCAGCCTCCCCCACCCGACAGGACATGCCCTCACCCCGCAACCGCCTGTCCGTGTCCATTGGTTATGCTCATATGCATGCATACAAGTCCTTTCGTTGATCTCTTACCCCCCAAACCCCCTCACCCCCACCTTCCCTCATAGGTTGGAGAGTCTGTTCAATGCTTCTATGACTCTTGTTCTATTTTTGTTCATCAGTTTATGTTGTTCATTATATTGCACAAATGAGTGAGATCATGTGATATTTATCTTTCTCTCACTGGCTTATTTCACTTTGTATAATGCTCTCCAGTTCCATCCATGCTGTTGCAAATAGTAAGAATTCCTTCTTTTTTACAGCAGTGTAGTATTCCATTGTGTAGATGTACCACAGTTTTCTTATTCTCTCATCTGCTGACGGGCACTTACGCTTTTTCCAAATCTTAGCTATGGTAAATTGTGCTGCTATGAACATAGGGGTGCATGTATCGTTTCCAATTGGGGTTTCTTTTTCTTGGGATATATTCCAAAGGTGAGATTACTGGGTCAAATGGAAGTTACATTTTTAATTTTTTGAGGATGCCATACTGTTCTCCACAGTGGCTGCACCAGTCTGCATTCCCACCAGCAGTGCAAGAGGGTTCCTTTTTTTCCACATCCTCACCAGCACTTGTCCTTTGTTGATTTGTTGATGATAGCCATTCTGACAGGTGTGAGATGATACCTCATTGTTGTTTTGATTTGCATCTCTTGGGTGATTAGTGATTTTGAGCATGTTTTCATATGTCTCATGGCCTTCTGTATGTCCTCTTTTGAAAAGTGTCTATTTAGGTCCTTTGCCCAATTTTTGATTGGATCGTTTATCTTCCTTATGTTAAGTTGTATGAATTCCCCGTAAATTTTGGAGATTAAACCCTTATCAGAGATAACATTGGGAAATATGTTCTCCCATGCAGTGGGCTTTCTTGTTGTTTTGTTGATGGTTTCTTTTGCTGTGAAGAAGCTTTTTATTTTTATGTAGTCCCATTTGTTTATTTTCTCCTTAGTTTTCTTTGCCCTAGCAGCTGTATCGGTAAAGATACTGCTACGACATATGTCTGATATTTTGCTGCCTATGGATTCTTATAAGATTTTTATGGTTTCCCGTCTTATGTTTAAGTCCTTCATTCATTTTGAGTTTATTTTTCTGTATGGTGTAAGTTGGTGGTCTAGTTTCATTTTTTGCACGTATCTGTCCTATTTTCCCAACACCACTTATTGAAGAGACTGTTTTGACTCCATTGTATGCTCTTGCATCCTTTGTCAAATATTAATTGAGCATAATGGCCGGGGTCGATTTCTGGGTTCTCTGTTCTGTTCCATTGATCTATATGTCTGTTCTTGTGCCAGTATCAGGCAGTTTTGAGAACAGTGGCTTTGTAATATAGCTTGATATCTGGTATTGTGACCCCTCCAACTTTGTTCTTCTTTCTCAAGATTGCTGCAGCTATTTGGGTTTTTTTTTTTATTTCATATGAATTTTTAGAGTTTGTTCTAGTTCTGTGAAATAATCCTTTGGTATCTTAATGGGGATTGCATTGAATCTATAGATTGCTTTGGGTAGTATGGGCATTTTAATGATGTTGATTCTGCCAATCCATGAACATGGTATATTTTTCCATTTGTTTATGTCTGCCTCTATCTCTTTTTTTCACACAATTCATTTTTTTAATGTTCCTAAATGAGCAAAGTTACTTTCTAACTTTTAAATGTTAGAAATATATACTAGTATATTATAATGATCCCACTTAACTTTTTTTTAAGGCATAATACATGCATACAGCAGAAAACAAGTAAATACATAAGAACTCTTATAGTGCAGCACTTTTTCAATCGTGGGAGTATGTCCCTCACAATTTATCTGTATTTTCAGCTTCATCAGTAAATAAGTAATATTTCTGTAGCCAGGAAAATGACTTGTGGGGTTTTATTTGTTTTTTGTTTGTTTTTTTACAAAGCTACGCTGTGTATTTAAACTTTCCCCAGACTTTTTTACTTAAAATGTTTCTCTTTTTACATTTTTACTACCACATACACTGAAATGCTCTTTGCTGAAACTTAAAAAATAAATAGGCGTCTATCCCAGCAGAAAAGCAAATGTGTCACCTCTGCCTTCAGTGAACTCATAAAACTTAAAAGGTCTTCAGAAGGCATTATATCCATTGCAGAAGATGAAATACGAGTTTCGATGATGCAGTTTTGGTTGGAAGGTCCTTGCTCTTTATAAGTTAATACCTGGGTGTGACACCTGCAAGTGATATGAATCATTTGAAATGTCGGTGATGATGGCAGTTCCTCTTACGGGTATATTAATGTTCATTAGAATCTTAGTTCTTTTTACATTGCTGTCATTCTCAAGTTTTCCATCTACTGGAAAAATGAGGATCAAGCCAGCATTATTTAAAATATTGCTAAGTGAGCATTGTGTTTCTTTATGATTGATTATTGTATTTCCTTTTACAACAGAAGATTAATGTTGCTGTTTGTTGTTTTTAGAAGTGATTATTGGTTGGGGTTTTTTTTTAAATGTCATTATACTCCGCTATAAGCTATTTTGTATTTCTTCAGAGCTTCAATTTTAAATTTTTTGTTTGAATTTTATCATCTTTTTTGCTTTCTAAGATAAAATGCAGTACATATACCATTCTCTATTTAGACAAGCACTTAATGATCTTTTAAATTTATTTGTTGTTGTTGTTGTTGTTGTTTGTTTTTCAGTAAAGGGAGACCTCAATAGCAATAATACACTCTAATGGGAATTGTAAATCTGCTTTTAATTACTTTATTAAACAAAGGCTACTTATTTGTTAAGCTTTACTATCTTCAAATGTAGCCATTTACAGACTCCCAGTATTAAGGAACCCATAATATATTTCATGTAGTAAAGAACTCTGTTTCTCTTCTTCAGAATTAAAATTTAAACTATTTGTTTATATTAAACAATTGAAAGTTAATAAAAACTGAAGTTTAAGGAGGTTAAATAATTGCTTCAAGGTGTTACAACTAATCATTTTTTCATATTTTAAATATTTAATTTAATTATACCTCTTGTTACAAACTCGGTTGAGTCAGCGTACAAAATTGTAAGATTGTATATAATAAAAGGCTAATGTGCAAATCGACCAAAGGGCAGAACAACCAGTCGCTATGATGTGCACTGACCACCAGGGGGCAGACGCTTAACGCAGGAGCTGCCCCCTGGTGGTCAGTGCGCTCCCACAGGGGGAGCGCTGCTTAGCCAGAAGCCGGGCTCATGGCTGGCGAGCACAGCGGTGGTGGCAGGAGCCTCTCCTGCCTCTGCGGCAGCACTAAGGATGTCTGACTGCAGGCAGGGCGCACACCAAGCTGAGGGGACACTCTCCCTCCCCCTACCCCTACTCCCGAGTGCATGAATTTCATGCACTGGGCCTTTAATAAAAAATATAAAGAAATAAGGGTATAAAAAAAATAAATGTGGAGTGCACGATGAAGCTCAGGGACAAGTAAGTATGCACATGAAAACAGTGTATGATCTCACAGTGTTCTTGAAGTTGGATTGTGTTTGCCTCTGTGTTTCCTAGTAGCCAAAGCAAAGATAAATCTTATTAATTGCAACATTCAAGCTATGTATGCACATAATGTATAACCAAATCCCATTCTATGTAGTATGTGTTTATGTGTATGTGTATGCATGTGTATGTATGTATTAAATATCAGTTGCTCAGGAAATCTGTGTTTTTCTTGGCCCAGAACTCTTGAGAGAAATTTGTGTTTTTGGTGAAATACATGACTGGACAAGGTTTTTTGACTCACACTAAATGTTTCTTCCTAGTGCCTACTTTAATATGCTCCCATATGCTTTAAATATCAATTTTTAGGGTTATGACAAAATTTTCTAATTAGAAGATAATCATAGCTGCTGTTACTGCTCTTCTCTGTTAGGAATTCTTGTTAAATCCTGGGCACAGATCTTTGCTACCTCTGAAGCCCAAAAATTACTGTTCCGGATCATAGATTGTTTACTGCTGCCGCACTCAGTGTTACTGCAAGAGAAGGAGCTGCCTGCACCTCTGTTGACTGCAATTCAAAAGAGCCTGCCTTTGTATCTCCAGGTATAGTAAGGGTGGCTGCTTAAAAGTTAAAAAAAAAAAGAAACTGTCTTAAAGCAGCTTACTAACGGCACATTTTAAAACCCTGCATTGCCATCTCAATGTATGTGTGTACATGGGGCACTTCCATTTACATGATTTTAATTCTTTTTGTGTTTGGCTCTGAAAACAAAGGTGGAAAAGACAAAATCTCCACCCTCAAAAAGCTTAAAGTTCAGGAGGAGGCTGATTACCATAGACACTTATAATAATGTGCTCTATATTTTTCTGAGAGGCCTCCTCTGTCTGTCACCCAGACTGGGATGGGGAGAAGTGAGAGAAGATACTGTGCAGGATACTGTTTGTCAAAGAGCACAGTGGGTAGGAGCTGAAGTTCTATTCTTGTCAGAGGGAACAGCATGGGAAGGCATGGTTTTTATAAGAAATAGGACACACTGGGGAAAAGCAAATAATTCTGTGGGGGCTAGACACTCATATAGGAGGAGCCACTTAATGGGGGTTTTCTATACCTATGCTAAGAAGTTTGGACTTTTTCTTTTACATGGGGACTATTGATGGATTTTGAGTTTCTAGAGAAGTGGGTGTGACATACATTTCCATTTTAGAAAAGTGATTCTGGTGACAGTATCCAAGGTAGTTGGTGCAGAGCTTAGAATGGAGATTTGGAAGGCAGTAAGGAGTACATTATCTGAAGGTTTTGAACTAAGGCAGTAGGTATAGTGCTCAGTAAATTTCAGAAACATTTAGGAGCTCCAATCAGAAAGACTTGCTAAGTTAAGTATTATGGAGCAACAGAAAAAATAGAATACTTTCTAGGTTCCACAGTGGCTGCTTATGCAGGTGGTGGTGCTGCTGAAATGGGATATTATGGGGATGAAGGTAAGACTTTCTGAAGAGCTTCAATTTGAGATGCTTGGAATATCTAGGTCATGGTGTTCAGCAGGCACTTGGAAATATTGATCTATCATGCAGGAGAAAGGACTAGGCTATACTTTGTTATTCATTAGAGTATGATAATAAAGGTAAGTGCTTCTTAATTTGGGCCTTAGCAAGGAAGCTGAGGCGGAATGGATTTTGATTAGATAATAAGCAGTCTCTTCCACAGATGGATTTTTTAAACATATTTTTATTACTTCTAAGACATTTTAAGTTGACTTTTTAATTTTGTATTCAAAATAGCATTTAAAGCGGAGTGTAGGGTGTCTGCTAGCAAGATAAACCACTGCCAATCCAGAGGGGAAGGTGCGGGGAGGGGAGTTGTAGACCACAGGAGAGTCTGGTGTGCTTGTTCCATGTGGCTCCTTAAACCAAAAGTGTATCTTGAATAAGAATTCTTATAAACTTCCAAAGTTGTAAATTGAAAAATTTGTTGAATTATCCATTTGGCATAATTGACTTGGAGCTATAGCTTTAACTTCTTAAAGGTATCCAGCTCTTTCCTTCATAATTTTCAAAATGTATCCATTTAGTACTTCATCTTCTGATTTAATATGCTTTTCCTTAAATAAAACATTGAAGAAATGGGGTAGGGAATGCCCATTATTTTTTTTTAATTGTTTATTTAATTGCTAGTGTTTTAACAGCTCTAGGCTATTTTTCATTACAAATAATAACCTTTTAAAATTTCTTATCGGGAAAATATTTGTAGCTAAAATGTAGACAAAAACATTTCTAATTATTTCTCTGGGGATAAAACATTGTGAATCACAAAATACCAAATTATAAATGAACTTTTAGATCATAATTTATTGTGTTGGTGATTATACTTAGTAATAGGGAATATTTAGAAATATTGACAGAAAAAAATTGTTCCCCAGAGTATTGGTTTAATTGTTTGTAATGATCAAATACTATAATCCATATGAAAGTATTTTGTTAACTTCTATAAAAAGGGAAGGGATTACGTCAACAGACATGCAATATAACATTGTGAGTTCCGTATGACCTTGATCAAGCTCTTAACTCCTAAACCAGTTTCCTCAACTATAAAATTGGACCTACAGTAATACTAACTCAGTGGTTAATTAAATGAAATAATGAATATAAGTCACATGGTACAGTTACTGACAAATAAAAACCTCAAAATAAATTGTCATTATACTGACTCATAATCTTCTGCATTTCTCTCCTTTTGTTAATTAAAAAAAATGTATCACCTTTATTAACATGGAAGATTTTTAGCTTAAGTTTTGTCTTACTCTGATAACTGTGAATGATGAGTGCCCCATATTTTAAAAACTGCCCTAAAATACGTTTTATAACTTGATAAATACACATATATGCCGTTGATGAGTGTGGTGGTCAAGTTTTCTAAGGATGAGAAGAAGGAAGCTTCCTTTGTGTCCTACATTTCTTTCCTGCTTCATTTGTGCCCCAAAGACAACTATGCGGTGTTAGATACCACAGCAGGGTTGTTACCAAGCTTAGCAACTCCCTTAACTTCATACAAACATTATCTATTGATAGTGGGAAGTGTCCTTGTTGGTTGTGATAAGTTACAAATTCAGACATGAGTATTAATGTGGGTGACTAAATTAGTAAGTTCCTAAATATTTTTTTACCTTTTGATATTTCTTTGGGTTTTGTTTATTTGTTTTGTTTTCTTTTCCTCCCGTAGGGCATGTGTATTGTGTGCGGTCAGTCTCAAAATGCCTATTTGAATCAATTGCTGGGGAATGTTATTGAGCAGTATATTAGGCGGTTTCTTCCAGCTTCACCACAACATGTTTTAGATCTTGGACAACATCCTGTTTTGTTGGCATTGAGAAACTCAGCCACTCTTGCACTGATGTCATCTCTAAAGAAATGCATTGTACAAGTCATAAGGTACCTCTAAATATTAAAAATAAGCTGTATTTACAATTTATTAATATCTATTAAAAAAACAAAGCATTTTAAAACTATTGGCCTCTGTTAAAATAATAGTTTAGAAAAGAATTTTTCTGAGAAGCATTATCTAAGATTTTACTAAAATGATTTTTACATATGCAGACAATGCTTTTTTTAAAAATTTATATTATTGATTTCAGAGAGTAAGGAGGAGAGAGAGAAATATCAATGATGAGAGAGAATCATTGATCGGCTGCCTCCAGCACGCCCCCTACTGGGGATGGAGCCCACAACCTGGGCATGCGCCCTGACCGTGAATCAAACCGTGACCTACTGGTTCATAGGTCGAAGCTCAACCACTGAGCCACACCTGCTGGGATAAGACAATACTTTTTGCTTGTTTTTTCTACAGAACAATTATTTTCTTACATATGTCTTAAAGGTGTAGATATTTATTTTAGTTTTTTTATCAGAGAAACTACTAGTATTTTATATATAATACAGTAATTATATTTTATAGAAGATAATAAATAAGTGAAAATATGATTGCTAGTATGAAAAAGGAAGCCATATGAAGTACTATTTTGTTAGCCTATCCTCTATCTAATAACTCAGTGTTACTAATAGGCAGATGAATAAATGAAACTTCTAAGGCTTTCTACTAAACTCCTTACCTTTTAACTACCACATTAGGAGATTCAATAATAGAATTATCTTTTCTTTGCCTTCATAAAGTATTTAGCTTCATGTGAAATCAGTTTTTAAAGCTTAAGACGCTATGGTGCTATATATTCTTATCTAACATTTGTTTTCTCTTTTTAAATGACCTGATATTTTTAATAAACTGATATTATCCATCACCTCTTTACAGAATTCCATGTTTAAAATCTGTTCTTTCTCCCAACCATTTTCTTTTTTGTGTTCCTAGTGTTCTGTTACTCAAGTTTGGAAGCTTTATAGTTTGTTCCCTCCTCTTTGCCATCCTCTGGCAAATGATTGTTTCCTTCCCTTCTTTTTACATCTCTCTTTCCTTATCACATTATACCTCCTAGACTACTGCCAGAATCTCCTAACTACTTTCACTATCTCGGCTTTTCTCTCAGCCCAGCCAAAATAGTGCCGCCAGATTACTTTTTCTGAACTATTGTTCCATTATGACACTTTCCTGCCCCCAGACCTTCATTTGCTCTTTTTTTTTCCTTCTTTGCCTATAGAATAAACTCCACACTAGCTTTTCCATGGCATCTTATACAAACCCTAATGAGATTGGTTTATTATTGCCCCTCCAAAATGCTTTGTAGTTCTTTATGTTACAGCATTTTCTCCATTAAAATGCCATCCATCTGGACTAAATTCCACATAGTCATTATAAGACCTACACCTAACATGTCAGTGTACCATGATGTTTCTTCCCTTCTGAAGTCATGTGCTCTGTAGGATTCAATTCTCAAAATTGTCATATTTTGCCTTACTTGTATCTGAATTCCCATCAAGATGGTACTAGTACTCTACCACTATGTGTGAGACAGTGTATAAGTAGTTTGAGTATAAACCCAATGACAAATGCTGAAGTGAAGTTAAATCCTTAAACTCATAAAACTGTTTTAAAAACCCAGTGTTGAAGACCCTGGCTGCTTAGCTGAATTTCCTATTTGTCTGTGAAAACATTTTTCTCATGATTTCTAGTTGATGACCCAAAATATAACAATTCCTTTTTCTTTTTTTTTTTTTAAAGTACTCAGGAAAGAAAGAGAGATTTCCTCCTACACCTTCTTCCATTGCGTGCTGCTTTACTCCTGTAGTACCCAGTATTAGTTAGGGCTCCTGCCTCTGAATTCCTGAGAATTCTAGACTTATTATTTGAAGCACCTATCACACTATATCATGATAGCCTTTTTTTTTTCTTGTCCAGCTTGTTCACTGGACACCAAGCCCCTTGCTTTCAGAGACCATATTTTACTTCACTTTACATTCTTATCCTTAGACTTGTACCTGGTACAATATAGGTACCTATTAAACGTCTTTTCTGGGCACTGGGAATTCAGCAATGAGCAAAAAAAGACAAAACCCTTGTTCTCAAAAAATGAATGAATCTTCTTATATGTGAAATTTGTTGGAAGCCACTATATGGAGTAGAAATGATGAAGAGATAGTTCCTGGTCTTATGGGGTTTATAATTCTTAGTGATTTCTATGCCTCCTTTTGGCAAATTATTATTATTGCTTTTCAAATATATATATAGATGTCTAGCTTAGATTTTGCTGCATTTGACAATTTTTCATTGTCTAGACTTTTTAGAATGTGAGCGATCCCACTTTCATTTATTCACCTAACAAATGTACACTGAGCACCTGTTAGGAGCCAAGACTTGTTCTAAGAGGTAGAGATATACACATGAGACAGATAAATTACATTGATGATCTCGGATGAATTCTAATGCTAAAATGTGTCCTGCTTTGAGAGAAGATATTAAATCCTAAATTACCTCTCTGATTTTTTTACTTCCAAAAGGAAGGAAAGAGGTAAAGCTAGAGTTGGAAGCTAATTCCCAGGACAGTCTTATTATTGAATTGGGGGTAGGGGGAGACCCCTCCCAAATCCCTAAATGAATGTAAGGAGAGATTTATTTTTGCAAATTTGGCATAAATGTTGCATCATTAAAGAGCTGGTAGAGGAGTTCAGGCTTATTATATTGGAAAGGAAAGAAATTAACAATTACATTTTTATTTGGATTTTGATTAAGTTCATTGTAAGACCAGGTTGCTTTAAATTTAGTTTATGTCTATATTTAACATTGGCCCTTATAGCACACCAAAAGAATGTGTAGTCATTGCTTCTTAACATTCTGTGTATGGTAAAATATACATATTTTTTATAAATTGTGCTTTATTAATTTGTGGGAGGTAAAATTTGCCAATATCTATAAAGTGTATGTCATTTGATTCTGCTCTATTGAAACTTTGAACAGAAGAACAAACAAAATTGTACTTCTTTTCAGGAAATCCTACTTGGAGAGTAAACCGATCTTGCTTCCTCCACGTTTAGCATCCATTCTGGCTTTTATCCTTCAACTCTTCAAAGAAACTAACATGGACGTTTCTGAAGTTGAACAACTCCTCCCTGGTGTCTTAAAATGCTTGGTGTTGGTTAGTGAACCCCAAGGTGATTTTGAGTTTGTGTTTGTTATACTTTCTGTTCAATTTGAAAGTACTCGTTCCTATCAGTTAAGTTGATTGTTACAAAAGTATTTGTTTATGTTATATATCAGTTTGTATTTATCATGGCTAAAGAACAAACTCCAGCCAATAGCTGAGGTTGAACATGATAAATGGTTAAACATTGACATGTTTCAGTCTAGTTTAGTTTAGTTTTTCCCAAGGCAAATAATTTACTGAAGTGCTATTTCCTCTGATTAGACTTGTTAAGTTCTTAAAAAATATTTGTTAATCTGACTCCAATTATTAAATACTAGAGGCCCGGTGCACAAAAATTTGTGCACTCGGGTGGGTCCCTCAGCCCGGCCTGTGCCCTCTCACAGTCTGGGGCCCCTCAGGGGCCCCTTCCCCTGGCTGCTGGCACCAGTTTTCCTCCGGTGCCCGGAACCCAGGCCTTCGCTCTTCACCGGGGGAGCTAAGCCCCTCGCTGCTCACCGCGTGCGGGCCCTGGGGGTGTGGTGGAGGCCGGCGTGGCAGGCTTCCCTCTTTGCTCTTCGCTCGCCACGCTGGCCTTCACTCACTGCTCCTGCCCGGAGCCAGCCAGCTTCGCTCCGTTGCTTGGCGCCTACGTATGCAAATTAACCGCCATCTTTGTTGGCAGTTAATTTGCATATTGCCCTGATTAGCCAATGGGAAGCGTAGTGAAGGTACAGTCAATTACCCTTTTTGTCTTTTATTAGATACGATATCTTGTTAAATATTAAGTTGTGAGAAGTCAGCATACTTTCTTCTCCTATTCAGGTTTCTGCTGGAAGATCTAAGCTGATTTCTTTGGTAAACCTGTTAAGGATCCTTTGATCCTATTCCTTTTGTTTTCAGTGTCACCAGCCTTACTGCCAGTGATCTCTTTAAAACACCATTTATTTAATGCCCACTGTGAGTAGCATGCTTTAATAAGCTTATTAGAAATATGCAGAATAGTAGCCATAGCTCTATCCTGAAAGAATTTTTAAAATGTAAATAGAAGGCTGTGTGTTTGTGTCATTATAATGTGATTGTTCAGGGCAGGGCTTCTCTAATGCTTCTACCTAGGTATGTGTAACTGCTGTGATAGGTGAGTACAGTATGTGTATCCTCAGGAATCTGAGGGCAGGGCCCAAAGTGGTAGCTAAAAGCTCAGACACCTCTTTGTAATGCACTGTTTTATCTCAAATATTGTATGCATAATTCGTTTAATCCTCATTTTAATAATTAAAAATGTTCTTTCTGCTCCCATGCTTGGTTTTGTGGAAAATGTTATGTTCTGTTAATTTAGAATGCCCTTACTTCATAGTAACATCCCTTCCCTCAAGAATGCCCACATGTGCCCCAGACTTTTCTTTAGAAATTCTGTCCTCATTGAAAATTTGTACATACTTTTAATTTCAGTGAATGCTTGTTGTATTGTGCAATATAAAATTTCTTGAGACAATAGATAGTATAAAGTTTTAGCTAGCCTCTTATTTTGATGATAGTAATATTTATTATGAAGAAGACCATAGTTTGGAAGGTGAATTTTGCCTCTTATTATCTAGTATAAACCAATTAATTTTAGACTTGTAATAAATAATTTTAAAAAGTATTTCTTTGAATAAAAGGAACTATAGTTCGAAGACACAGATTCAAGTAGCAATCTAAATTGTGCACCACCAAGACAAAGGAGAGGCCATCTTTTATAAAGTTCCATCCATGTTCCCAATTTTATGCAAATGAAGTTTTCAAATTGAGCAGTTCTGATTGGAGAAAGAGGAAACCAGGTTTCCCTGAGGTGGTTGACACAGCATAAAAAGAGCAGGAGTTCAGTCTGAGGTTCTTCCTGGTACATAGTATGTGAGGAACCCCTGTCGGCAAATGGCTACTGGACTTATTATTTATAAAATCTGGGCCCTTGGTTGACCCTAGGGAGTTCATCTCAACAGCTAAATTCCTTCTTGAGGTTCACATCATATGCATCTTTCTTCTGGGGTCCACACTAGCTAGTGAGTGCTTGACATATTCAGCATAGATGGAGTGCGGGATTCTCCACCTCCACATTACTGCCTTTGTAACCTTGAAGGAGAAATAAACACAGGTTTGTGTGCTTGGCTCAGAGAAAATTCTGACTCTCTTTATTGTCTCAGTGTCTAAAAGGACAATTTGTATAGTCACAAGAGATATTACTAAATGACTCGGCAAATCCACTCCTTAGTAGGTGCCCAAGAGTATTTTAAACACATGTTCACTCTACAACCTGTACAGAGAGCTTGATGAGTTCCACTTCTTGCATGACAACATAAGGAGCTCTGCCAACCTGCTCCTCAGCAAAACCGATGAAAATTACTTAAAAGAAATCATTAAAGTCTCCGGAAATAGCCGTAAGGGTATACAGCAAATGGAGAAATCTTTAAGAAAATCTACTAAAACTTGGTATGAACAGCAAGAATCTGTGGTACTTGAACCAAGACCACTTCTTCCTTCTTTTCCGCCAGCATAGTAAGACAGAAACTACTCCAGACTGGTAAATCCAAGAATATAGGGCTCCCTCTCTCCCTAGCTTCCAGTAGGGTCCTGTGAGAAACAGGCTTCCAGCATTTCTCATCATGACCCCAAACTAATGTTATGTTTCAGGCAAGTAGAGCTAAGAAATAAGGGAGGGCTCCATTCTTCTGCTCAGCTCCCACTCAAGGGATGGTTGCAGTACATTGAGTGCGACACCAGTGAGAATACAGGGGTGCCAACCATTCTTGCTGCAGCTTAGACGCTGCATGCCAAGAGAAGCAAGCTGAGGGGACCTGGTGCAGCTGTCCCTCCTTCCACAATGCTCTTCTCCTAAAGTGGGTGTGTCACTCAGAAAGTAGTTGTCTCTGTCCCAGCACCAGAGCCATGCCTGTGAGATTGTGCCTGGAACTCTGAGTCTCTCCCAAAAGAACTGATTTCATTTGCGACACAGTGTGAAAAAGTTCAAACCTAAGGGTACTGTCAAAAACAGTGCAGTTTGTGATGAAAGGCAAAAGGTAGGAGAATAATGGACTCACTGGACTATAAGATAATCTGTAGTCCAGCCAGTTTGGTGTGAGAATTGGTGAAAGGGACAGCTGGTTAGAGCCCTTGGGTCAGAACAGATCTCAGACACTGATCTCAGTGTTTTATCCTGTTTAAAAAGCCTGAACTGGATTAGATCAGTCAATGAAGCACTTTGTGCCCCAGGGCATTATTGAAAATAATGGCATAATCAGCCAGCAATTAGTGGAGCTTAACAGCTGGTGTCAACATGGGAAGGGACAGTCAAAGAGAGCACTGTCAAAACCACTGTCTTCCAATGGAGACTGGGCACACCTAAGGTTACACCACCTGAGGAGCAGTTTTAGAGGTTTCACACAGGAGCAGGAAGAAGGAAGAAGTAGACTTCACTAAAAAATGTCCAGTTTTCCAACAAAATAAATTTACAAGACACAAACAATCAGAGAAGTATGATCCATTAACTGAAGAAAAAAAGCAGGCAATGGAAGCTGCCATTGAGAGCAATCAAATACTGGATTTAGTAGACAAAGACTTCAAAATAGTAGAGGAACAAAAAACAAGACATTTAGAAAACAAAATGTAAAAAGATTGATGTAAATCCAACTATTCAATAGTGGCAATAACGGAAAGGATTGAACAATCCAATGGAAAGAGATTATAACAATGGATTTTTTAAAAAAATCTAACTATTCTATCTGTAGGAAACACTTTCTACATTGGTTTTTGATTTTTTTTTAAAAAAAATTTCATGTACAAGTATGCAATTTTAGAGGATTTGGTTAAATATTTAAAGAATACAGATGTCCTTTTGTGATTTTGCTGTTTGAAAGGAAGATAGCATCAAATATAGTTGATTTTAATATATGTATCTTCAACTAATTTTAAGTGAAGGTAAGTTGTTGGATTCTAATTGGCTACTTATGTATTTGTTAGTGGGAGGAGTAGGCTTTTGAATTTTAAAAAATCTGCTCCCCTGTAAATCAGCTGAATTATTAAAGGCTGATTTAATAATACTTTTGTCAGTATGTAATAGTGCTTGCAGGATTGGGATGGGACAGTGTTATTGAATATGGGCTCTTATCCTCACATGTATTTTTTCAGGTATAAGGTTGTAGAAAATAGACTCTTAAGCTTTTTATATTTTCTTAAAACGAGAGGGAGATAGATTGGGAGATACACTTTTGAAGAAAACAAAGCCTCTTGATTTCATTTTGAGAAATAACAGGAAAACATATACATACTTTGAGAAAGCAACATTTTTTCTAAGTCAAGCGTGTTTATAAAAATGAGGATCCAGCTGGTCAATTCAGACACCGTGTATAATGCTGTAATTTTTCCTTCTAGTTAAAAGGCTAGCCACAGAGAACTTGCAGTGTATGGTGAAAACCTGCCAAGCGGGGTCAGAAGGAGAACCTGCCGCCCAGCTGACTGCAGTGTTTAGGTAACTGGAAATCATGCCAACTGGCAAGGAGACTATTGCCAGCCATTTGACAGCCAACATGTTTTTTAAATAACTAATTATCCAAAACAATGTGTTACTACTTGTTTATAGTATTTCAGTTATTGTATTTTGGGCAGTAGTTTTGTTGCATTGTGTTGTTTTATTAAAAAAGTAAAGGTGCTTGCTCATTTCGGCAGCACATATACTAAAATTGGAACGATACAGAGAAGATTAGCATGGCTAATCTCAAGGATGACACACAAATTCGTGAAGCGTTCCATATTAAAAAAATAAAATAAAATACAGGTGCCAGGGAGAAAGATAAGTGAGCCTTTGTCTTGTGCTTGGTGTTGGGGGTGGAGGGCAGTATTTTAAGTATTTCTTTCTCACGGTTTCTACCAGTTTACCTTTATTGTACGTATCTCTACCCTAGCACTGCCATAATAAGCAATTTAGAGTCATTTTCTTCATCTATGTTGGCTCTTTGATTCCTCAGTTTTTGTTCTCATCACATAATTGGCACTTGTAAGGTATCTAGTTTATTTAAATTGTGAGCACTTGAAATAAATAATGGATTTGTGAAAACTAAAACCCTAGGAGGGGAAAAAAGAATTTAGATGAATAAAGGATGCATGTTTGTTATGTACAATTTATTAAGGTGGCTTTTACTTGGTTGGGGGAGTGGAAATTTTAGGGTTAAAATATGTAATTCTAATTTATAAAGGCCTCCTATGGGCCTAAAGTCTCTTGTTTGGTTCCAGAATATAAAATATATTATGAATAACTTGCTTTCCTCATAAAAGTATTGTTTTGTTTATCTAGAGATATGAAGAAATTTTTTAATATCTAGGAAGCCAGACTTGTTTTTCTCTTAGTCTCTTCCACATCTTTACCGCCCAGATTTCAACATACAGACTATAGCAGAAAAGTCCCCTTATTCTCCCTCCTGGGATTCCAACTCTTCTCTCTTCCTCTTGGTGCCACTGCTTTCTTCTTAGCTTACACTGAAATAAGCCATTTCTGTCCTTCACTTTTAACTGTTATATTCTTCTTATTCTTAATTCTAGATTCTTAAGGTATTCTTATATGAAATGATCTTTCTTGTGTTCAGGCTATAGCTGATTGCCATATAGATACCAGCCCTAGGAATTGATTGCCCCAGAAGTAATCCTAAGTAACTTGATTTACTTTCAGGCATTTTATCCAGGATTATGGTATGAGATATGAAAATCAGATTTACAGCATTTTAGAAACAGTAGCAGCATTGGACCAGCAGGTTGTCATCCACTTGATTCCTACCCTCACTCAGACTCTGAAGGATTCAGAGCAGAAATGGGGCCTTGGCAGAAATATGACACAAAGGTATGTTTGATAATTTGATTAAGTTCTTTTGGGCATGATTAAAAATCTAGATTCATTTTCTAGAAATGGCTTAGTTTTCCATTCCCAAAAATATGGGGTGTATTTAATTGAAACATGTTTTAGTGCTGTGATTGACACATCCATCCACACATTGTTCTTTTCAAAGTGACCACCCTAGAAAGCTGTCTATTTCAGCAGTGCTGCTGCTGTTGCAAAACACGTGTTCCTCATGGGGAAGTGGCCTGTACAGCCTTGTTTGCCTTGTTTTTGTATAAATTCCATGGTGGTATATCAGTCCTTTAAAGAATGCTTGATTTACTGTATCTACTTTGTCATGTATATCCAGTTAATAGGCTGAGTGCCCCAATTAGATAACAATGTTTTTGGTAAAAAAAAAAAAAAAATAGATAAAGCTTTTTTAAAATAGGTTTATAACCCAACTGAGGACAGTGCTGAAATATTCAGGGTAGTGCAACATTGTGGAAATATGCCTGTAGTTCCTAAAGAGATTGTTTTCGAGGTGTCAGCCTCATACTGAAATTCATATGTCCCAAAGTTTGTTAAGGAATCAAAGTTCTTTAATCACATTGTGGGAGTGTACGTACAGAGTCAAGCAAGTTCAATTTGTAAATAAATAAATGAAAAGTAATGGGAGGGGACTAAATTTATCTGTCTTCTTTTCTCTTACACAGGAAAGCCTATAGCAAACTTCTATCTCACTTAGGACAAGTGGGACAAGATGAGATGCAAAGACTGGAAAATGAAAACAACTAATATGTTTGCAATTCATCTTTTTTATTAATTATAACTATCCAAACCCGGGTCGCATCATTCTCACCCCTTTTAATTAATTGTATGCTGTTCTGTTAAAATTATTTTCTAGGATTTTTTTTCCTTACATACCTGTAAGTATACTAAATATATAAATAAGTAAATAAAGGTTCATTAGGTATCTTTTGGAATCTCTGAAACTAAATTAAAGAAACTTTTTCTAACTGGGAGTGTTATCTGTGTATAACAGTACACACTGGTTGATCCATGGACTTGTTACTGTAATGTGACTTTGTGTCTTGTGACTTGTTTGTGTTTGTTGAGATTTTTATAAGTTATCCTATATTATAAAAGGCTAATATGCAAATCGACCAAACAGCAGAACAACCAGTCACTATGACGTGCTCAATGCAGGAGCTGCCCCCTGGTGGTCATTGTGCTTCCACAGGGGAAGTGCCACTCAGCCAGAAGCTGGGCTCACAGCTGGCAAGCGCAGCAGTGGTAGTGGGTAGGAGCCTCTCCTGCCTCCGTGGCAGGCGGACATTCCTCAAGGGGTCCCGGACTGCAAGAGGGCTCAGGCCGGGCAGAGGGACCCCCCTCCCAAGTGCATGAATGTTGTGCACCGGGCCTCTAGTTTCTAATAATCTATAATAATAAAAGCATAATATGCTAATTAGAACTGATAGCCAAATGACCTTCCAGACAAAACCGGAGCTACAAGGGCAGCCACCGCAGCTGCAAGGGCCAATCCCCTTGCACGAATTTCGTGCATTGGGCCTCTAGTGTTCTAATAAGATACCTTCGTAAGTTTTTTGGAAGGGGGGAAAGGATTAGGAGATAGAACTGTTTGTTAATTGTGGTTTTTTTTTTTATACAATGTGTGAGGCAAGTTAATGAATAAAACCCTTACCAAACCTAAGAATGAGACCAAAAATCTGCCTAAATGATTGTATAGATAATATGTGGTTTTTTTTGTGTTTTTTTTTTTTTAATTAAGCCAACAGTGTTGTTTAGGTAGATTCCAACAGTTGCCAGATGTTTTTCCCTACTCATTCTTTCTTTGACAGTTGTCATTAACAGATATATCAGGAAGAAGATAAACGAGAACCTATAAGGAGATGATAAGTAATAATATTCTGGAAAATCTTGATATTACAAATTAACTGAAGAGGTCTGATTTATCTCAGATTTATCTCCTCAGATTTATCTCCTGATTTATCTCAGATTTATCTACTCGTTCTTCAATTAGAGCCTCTTATAATTTAGCATCTTATATGTTTACTAGGGGCCCAGTGCACGAATTCGTGCACCTTGAAAGGAACTGTGGACTGGGAGGCTGCAGTAGGCACAGGGGTGGGTCTCGGCCCATCCTCTGTGCCCCCGCCTGGCCCCTCCCATCTGGCGCCAGCAGCAGATGCGAATGCCAGGTGGGACCACGGTGCGCAGGAGCAAAGAATTTTCAGTAATCACCAGAGGCTCGCCCCCATGACAGCGACCAGCGCCCAGCCTTGGTCTGGCACCCCTGCTCACCTGCTCCACCATCCGGCCATGGCCTATGCCCACCATGTTCCATGCACGCCCCCTGCTGATCAGCGCACATCATAGCGACCAGTTGTTCGATCTATTTGCATATTAGCCTTTTATTATATAGGATAGGGGACCAGTTTAGTTTCTTTCAGCAGCTATTGCCTCTTAACTCTTTAACAATCTCATCCAGATTTATTTTACCAGTTGGGCTCTTGACTCCTTTTTGTAGTAAGCATTATTTGGTAAAAAAGCTCTAGTCCTAGTGTTTGGGACCCACCTGGTTGTCAAACCTAGCTCTGCTTTGTGACCTTGAGCAAGTTACTTAACCTTTCTGAGCCTCAGTTTCTTCATGGAGAAAAAAAAAAGACTACTGCTTTTTCTATTTTACAATGTTCTGATAAGATTCAGTAGGAAAATGTATGTGAAATATTTGGTGACCTGTATTCTGTTTGGATATGCACAGATATGATTACTGTATTATGTATACACAAAGGTTAAAAAAAAACTCTCAACTGTGTTCCTCTTTCTTTAATGTACTAGATGAACGATCCTACTCTTTTGCAATGTTTTCTTAATTCCTTTCTTCTGGGACTCTGGTCTTCATTTTGGTTCTATTCCTTCAAGAAAACATTTCAATCCTTTTCTGGTTCAAAAAGTATTTTAAAATTGAAATGTATTGCAGTCAGCAAAATATAGTTTATAGCACTCTCCTAATTGTAATCTGAAGTCTAAAGAAGTATCTGTTGTTTTCATAATATACAAATGGTCTGTTTTCCCCCCAAATCAGCTGTCCTTACTTCAATGAAATGAATGAAAGTCTCTTTGCAGTCACTTAAAAGACTTCGTAGCAATGAATTTCTTTTCATTATGATCATTATGAGAATGACTTGTTAAACTATTTTATCTACTTAAAGTGATGCTTTTAAAGGAGTTTTATATATAGGTTATATATTTTTATTTTCCAAGGGAGACTGATAACTATATCTGAGAATCTTGCTCCTTAGAGTATGAAACTTAAAGGATCAGAAAAGCTGCTGCTGAATCATGCATTAGAGTGAATAACTGTAGATACTAAGAATAACTAAAGTTTATACTTAAAAAATCAATTGCAACAAAAGTGTAGCAATACAGGTATATGTATGTTTTTTATTTATAAGGAAAATTTTAAAGAAGCTGTTTTTCTTTAATTGAAGAAAAAATTTGACTCAGTTCCTTTTCCTAAAAATCTTTAGTTGCCCTTCACTCATTACTATAACCTTATCTTTTTGCATTCCCAGACTTAGAGTACCTTATAACTGCTTCCTTAATATCCATTTTTCCCTAAGTACCATTATCTCTGAGGCTGCTGCTCTACCTTTTGTTTTGTAAGTCACTCTCTTGTGGTGAAATGAGGAAAGTACATCCTCATTTCTCATGTTCTTTGACCTCTGTGGCATTTTCATTTTCATTTATCTTCTCATCCCTTCCTCAGGGAAACTGCTCCTTCCTACATGTACTGAACTTGGAGAGCACCTTCACATTCTTTTTTCGTGTCCCAGTAGTAAGATCTGGTTCTTCACCTGTTCTGCCTTCAACATTCTTCTGTAGTCTATTGTTAACACTAGTTCATAATTTTCTCTCTCAAATCTATTTCTTGGGCTAATTTCTCTCTAAACCACTCTAATTTGATCCTCCTAAAATTTCTAGGCAACGTATCTGGCTGCCCTTGTCACCTTATATTCCAGTCTACCTGTCTTTATTTTCTACCCAGGTAATACACTGTTTTCCCAAGTTCCTAGCTGTGAAACTTCAGAGGCAGCTTGGATTCTTCATTGCTCCCACTTTCAGTTGATCAGCAGCACAGGCTCTTGCTATTTTTTTCCACTCCATGCATCTCGGCTATTTTTTCTATTGAGCTCTATAATCTCTTATCTCTGGTCTCTTTTTCTACAGTTAATCCTTCTCACAGTTCGGACATTAGTGTTCCTAAAGTACTACTTTCCTCTTGTTACTTTTCTGCTCAGGGCCTTCAACTTACTTCCCATTGTTAGTAAGCTGACAGTCAAATCCTTCAATCAGACTTTCTGCCATCTGACTCTACCTTTTCTGTCCAAACTTACCTCTGGCAGAAGACTAGACTGTCTTAGACTGTCTGAATGTCATGTTCATTCTATACTCTGAGAGTATGCCAGTCAAGTAATTTCTGTGCACTGTCAGATGGAGTGTAAAGAAGATGATTGAGGCACAACAGTGTGATGAAGTGATTTTATTAGACATTCAGATTTGGTAATGATTGAATGTTTTTAATTGAACATTTAATGTTTCCATGGGGGAGGGAAAAAATGGAGTATTGACTCTATACAAAAAACATTTGATATTGAGTTCATTTGCATTAGAATTTCATAGTTGAAGACTTTTATATCCTTACCTATTCCTAGCATATTTTCTTTTCTTCTTAAGTGTAACTATTTCTACCTGGGCATCTATGTAAAAAAAATAATTAGTTGTGGGTTATTAGACTATGTATATGTTCTGTCATTGTTATCTCTCTCAGGCTTTATCACAAAATTTTAAAGCTACTTTGTTCTTAAAGAATTAATGGATCTGTCTTCATGTACTGTTATGGACTTTGACAGTTTTTAATTTTGTGTTCCCTTTGTTAAGATTATATGTTACACAGAAATTTGATAAGCCTCTGCAGTTGGGAGAAGCCTGTATGAAACCTACCTTCCCTAAATACTAAATGTTACACAGCACTTGTGTTTTGAAGATAAAGATAGATATCATAGGACCTTCACTAAACGCTGTATTATCAGTACTAAACCACTGCTCTTTGAATGATATAGACTTTTTACATAAACCTTACATTTTTCCAAAAACTGATGTCTTGTCTACTCCTCCTAGGGTTAAAAATATTGCCTTGTCAGTCTCGTGTATAGTGTATCCATGTAAATAACATGCTTTGTTAGGTGGTTGATTTGGGAAGCTATGTAGCACATTCTTTTACATATTTAACAACATATGAGAGTTGTATTTTGATTCTGTGATATATATTGGTAAGGTTACCAAAATCAGTACCATATGATTGAAATTGACCATTTTCTGCTTATTAAAGTTTTGGTGTGCTAATAGTTATTTGATTATTGCATTTGCAAATTGTACTTTTAGAAGAATTCTGGGCATTCTTATATTATAAACATGTTTATAAGTTATTTTGTGCATATATTAAGGATATGTAATAAAAATGTATTTATTTAACTTATTCTGTACCTATGATTATTCAACTTCCCTTTTTATGACAGATTGACTACTTGAAAACCAAAATTATTTCTATTTTATACTATTGCTTTCATACTCTTTAGTAAAACACTAGTTTTCCAGCTATTGCAGTGTCTGAAGGGAATACAATATACATCTAGTTAAACAAGAAAAGCATGAAGAGAAGAAGTGTAAAAGGTACCCTAATCATAACCTAACTGGCATTATGTTAAGGACCCAAAGAATTTTATTGCATTTTACATTTTAGAGATTCATATCTTTGCTGGCTTTTCCTCCCACACAAAGAACACTGCCAATATCTATGTAGTACTGCTTCTTTTTAAAAGTAAAATACTGAAATGCTTAAATAGTTGGAAGTTTCGTGATCTATGGAAATTTACATTGATAATTTGAATATAAAAACAATATGATCTTTAATTTTGAAGAGTGAAACTAGAAGATGAATTGCTATAGAATAGTACACTTAAATGGAAAAATATATGAATAGTTTCAATGACCAAACATAGTTTTTTTTTTCTTATTAGCTCTTACTATTGATTTGAGGGAAAGGATCTAATTATACGTGATC